TTTGAAACGGAAAAGAAGACGTCCTCGTCGGAGCCGACAACCTCGCATCTGAAGAGATAATACAGCCACTTCTCTGAAGAAAATCAACGCTCCTCGCCGAGTCCTTTTCAGGGCTCGGCCCAAATCTCTCCCAACATTGGTTGGTCTCTCACGGACGCAAAACTGTCCTTTTCAGGACAAAATAAACGTTGGCAACGATAGCGCTAAAGTAATGTTCTATGTACATATATTAACAATTGCCAAGTAGAATTAGAATTTCGAACTTACAAAATCAGAAAGAAATTCTTCACTAGCAGATAATTTTGTTTTAATGTTTTAGTTCTGTTAAATTGGATAATTTAAGTGTTAAATTATGTTTTTTAAGAAATTTTTCAACAGTCATCGAATCTATTCTAATTTTCAACATTTGTTCAATAGAATTTTTTAATTGTCTTATTAGGTGATTTTACATTGATATTTCGACAGTTAAAGATTTTATTGCTTTATGAAGCAAAAGAATTCCTAAAAATTTATTAATAATCATGATTAATTGAAATACATGCTTGTAATGTAAAATCTCATAATTTAAAAAATAATCTGTATGCCTTTTGAAAATTCAGCGTCCTGATTTTCTGCTTGCATATTTTTATCAGGAGTGATGGCTGTGTTATTTAATTTAGTATTCGTAGGTGATTGCGGAAAATTGTCTGATGACTTAACAGCATCTTTTGAACTACATTCTCTTGTCAATGTTGTCGCTATTTGTTTTTCGTTTGCTTGAATATCAATTTTTTTCGAGATCTCATTTCTCAATAAATCTTGTTTCTCATTTTCCATACTGTGATTACTTGCTATATAAAAATTAAAAGTAAATAAATTTTAATTAAAATAATTAAGTAAATAATTTTTATTAAAATAATAATGAATTATACAAATATACTTACAAAATGTCAGAGAAGAACTACTGTCTTCTAAAGAATTACATGACCCTTCAAGGTCACTGTCATACATAATTTTTTCAACAGTGTCTTTTTGATTAATTTTTGTTTCTTTTTTTAAATAAATTTTGCGGTACGTATCGACTTTTCTTTAGCATTATCAGTAGAGCTCAATTGCTTTTTGTTAATAATTTTATGCATTTTTTGTTTTGCTTCTTCTAATGTGTCTAGAAAAGAATATAAAAAGCAAAAATTAAATAACATCAATTTTTAACTGAGATTTGGAAAGAGATTGTTAGTATTAAAATAATTCTTTTTACCTGCTTCACCTCTCAAATATACTGGATATAACGGCCACGATTCTAGTGCCTTAGATTTAGCCATAACCAAACTATCTAATTTAGCCCGTGTTTTTGTGTTATATGGAGGAGACATAAACTTACATACGCAAGAACGTGAATTTTGACGTCGTACGTTACCCATTTGGATGGGACACAATCGAAAGATATCATCTTCCTTTTCGTTTATGAATTCAACAATTTTATATTGATATTCTTTGGTATTCACTAAAATAGAGACCATATAAAGGGTTATATTGCCTTCAATACTTCACAATTATATATATTTAAGAATTAATTTACTACGTACTGTTGGATGGGAACTTTATTGAATTCTCAAACGACTAAAATACGAGAATTTACACTTATTTATCTTGATTTGAAAACACTGTGATGTATATTACTATTGCAGTTGATAATATATTATTGGCGAAATGCTGATCACAATGAACATCCATACGGCTCACGAGCTACAATATGACGATCGCGCGGGATCGCTCTCACGCAGTCGTCATGCGTAGTGCGCAGGTCGTATCAGGAGTATGTTCCAAACTAACTCGAACGCACCCGAGAATAGCTAGTGTGAATACGTGTGATCGTTTAATGCAACAGCAAACACTTGTGTTACATGAAGACGTTACATTACGTTGAATTGTTAAATTTTAATTCTTAAAGGCAAGAAAATACACGGAACGATATTAAATCTAGATTCAACGAAAAGTATATAACAGGTATAACACACGTCTGTGATTATTATATAATTGTAAGGTCTTTGCAGGATGGAAGGTCAGAAATATCCTTTGACAACTCTTTTCTTGAACAGGCACTCAACAAATATCTTTATTCAACAGGCGATAGACATCACAGATATTACACTTCGCGTTATGGCTAAAGCGTTGCCCGTT